AAAACAGAAGGAGTTAAATTGTTTCCAGACCTTAAAACTTCCTCCACTTTTACACAAACCTCAGTTTGACTTGGAGAAAACTCACCCCTGTGCATGATGCTCATACTATGTTTCAATGCGGATACAGTGATATTTAGGGATGAAATGTCTGTTTTCATCGGAGAATAACATGTTCTACTCGGTTTTCGAGAGATGTTTTCATTTTTTTGGATGTCAAGTAAGGTTGCGAGACGGAAACCTATTTGTTAACACACGATTAATGTTACGTGTCGATCACAAGAGGTCCTTTTTATTTTTAATAATATTACGCAAGAGAAAAATGGATTTAAAAAAAAGCAGATAAATTACATTATGGCCTACAAAGTCATGGGGAAGACTGCTGACTTGATAGTTAACCTACAGGCGGTCATTGTATTCTTCCTTTAGGAGCTTAAGGTGATTGCCAAACAGTGGCGCAACTGCACATTATTCAGGTGGATGCGAAGACATAACCCCCGAAGGAAGGAACGTCAGCGTAGAAAACATACGCTCGCTCCCCCCCGCGAGGCGACTCGCGCTACATTTACCTCATTATGTGCTTGAGGTGACGGAGCATAAGGCGCGCTAAAGTGTATGGGAAAACATAATCGGCACTCTCCAGACGGGGTTTTGGCGCCCTCTCCGGTGCTGCGCCCCTATGCGTTGCATGTGCTGCATACCCACTTTTTGCGCCACTGTTGCCAAATAATCTGGCTGATTACAATATGCGAAATGTGAACATGTTAATGGAAAGTTGAGTGGAAGAAAAAAAGACATCAAGGTTCCAGAGTCTAAAGGAAGAGCGGAGAGGCAGAATCAAACCTTTAGTTCCTCTGTTTCCTCTGTGATTTTGGGAGCCAAGCCATCTGCTGGTACCGGTGTGGTCCTAGAGTCTGAGCTCGCTGGTGTTTACAGGAACTTCTGGAGAACTTGATGCTTCCTTTATTCCCACTGGAAAATAAATATTGTCAAGCTAGAACGGAAAGAAAATGTTTCTCACGGCTGGGCCCTAACCCTAACGTTGCTGTTGGGATTCGCAACATTAAACAGGAAAGGCAGTTTTCCTTGAACTTGAAAGCTGACGTTCTGATTTTAATAGGCTGCTAAAAGTGCTTAAGTGTATTATTATTATTGCGAATTCCAAGTAAGCCTTTTGATATCTGTTCCCTATAAAATTCAGGTTCAGTCTGTTCTGCCCTGGCTCATTCTTTTACCACCTCCAGAGAAAATGTCAAGCAGATCACCCCAGACGGATTTGTCGAGCTCCAGCCATGACGCACAACTGCAGGGAGCGGGGAGGGGTGGAGAGTCGGGAAGAGTGTTTGAGCTTCATAAATCAACCCGGTGGTTTTTATTTATTAATACAGCCCTGAAGCCCGCACCTGGGTCCTCCACATTCAGACATGTATCACGAAGGATGGAAAGATGGCAGAGGAAGGAAGAGGAGCTTAGATACAACTCCCAAGGGCGGTGACAACAAGCGCGTCATTCCAAAGTAAGAGGAGAGCAGAGTGATGGGTGAACATGTGGTGGAGCAGATGGAGACGGAGAGTGAGGGATTGATGGGCTGATGGTTGAGGAGAGGAAGACTCTGGGGACCTGAGATCCTTTAAGGTGTAAAGAGGGGAAGAGAGCAATAAGAGTGGGAGAAGAGAAGATTGAACTGAGGGAGGGCAATCAGCTGGAGGAAGCCAGAGATGTCACACAGTCTGAATTTACTCAGCAAGCTGGGACTCTGTAAGTCTGTTAGTTTATCCACGGCACCGCGTCTGTTTCATCACACCGAAAGAGACAAGGAATGACAGCTTAGTCACCGGGTTTCTTCTACGGCTGCTGCTTACGTTACGTTAAAAAAGGCAACACTGTGGGGGAAAAAATCACTGCCAGAGGGCCTGCCTTTTGGAAAAAAAACTCTTTGTTGCCTTGATGTCGTGATAAGGTCAATGGAACAAGGGATTCATCTTTTTACTTATTCAAGCAGTGGGAGTGTCACTTCTACCTGATCTTTTTCCGTGTCCCTTGAGGACCACAGAGTACATCATGTGCTAGAAAAACATACATCTATGATACTTTCATGTCCTTTGCAACCATAACGTTTGCAGAGCTGAACTCTCTCTGGTCAGTGATCTCTCTGTGGCAAGACAAGCTCCTCCAACTTGATCACCCTTCCTTTGGGGATTGCACAAGGGATGTGTTTTAGTTCCTGATCATTGCTCGTTTCACTATGCAAAGTCTTCATGGAACATGCAGGCATTAACTCAAAACAGGTGGTTTGCAAACTCTGTGGCTTAATTTAAATTTGTTTAAAATTGGGGAACGCTTTAAATCAAAGGGAAAATCGACATGTGCCTTTGGACAGTTGAAAGAGATGTTTACGGTATTTCACAGTCCAGTCCTAGACAATGCTTTCAGGAGCTGGGGGAAGGAGCTTCATGAAATAGCATTCGCTCAAGAGCTTGGTACTTGACTTTCTTTTGCAAAGCCTTTAATTTTAGCTCAAAACATAGAGGTACAGCAAAGAGTTCATCTGTCCATTGTCTACAACTTATACAAGATAGGGTTTAGGGCAGTGTTTCTCTACTCCGGTCCTCATTAACCTTTACCCTACATGTTTTAGGTGTATCCCTTCTGACACACACACCTGACTTGAATAAGTCGGTGATTAACAAGTTTCTGCAGCACTTGATAGCGTGCAGAGGGGGTCATGCAATCATTTGAATCAAGTCTTCTGGAACAAAGACAAATCTAAAATACTCAGGACAGTGGTCTCTAAGGACTGGAGTTAAACACTGGTCCAGGGGATAGCAGGACCAAGATGGACACCCAGACACCCCTATTCCTGGCAAAACTGTCCAAATTAGTATGAGTGACCCCAAGAAGTAAGTTTAGACCTAGGATTAATATTAATAGTCCATCAGGCCTTATTGTTCTCATCAGAGCATCAATAGAGAACAACTTACAATACTTTTCAGTGTGCAGTGACTTCCAGTAAACATCCTGGAAAAGAGTCAGGCTGAACAGATTGATGACATTTCTGAGTTACTTGCACGTTATCTGCACCAACAAGATTTAATGTGACTGTTATGACCTAGTCGTAGGGTTAAGCTGAAGTTGTGATATACTTGAAAATGTGCATGCTCAAAACGTATGGTGTTAGAAGGGGAATGTTGATGGATGAGTGTTTGCTCCTTCCTGAAGGCTCAGACGGAATGTGAGTTTCCTCCTCCTTCCCCTCCAGAATATACAGCCACATTTCTCTGCAGTATATGAATGTGTCATGCACATTTCAATAATTTAGTTTGAACTACTTACAGTCATTTGCAAAGGTCCTCATACCAAAAAACACAAGAAAGTTACACATAAAGTTTGTTAATGACCAAAAGACCTACAAGGTCACTGAAATAACTTGACATGAACAAATGGAATAATTCACTGGAAATTAACTAATGTAAATCTGACACTGAAATGTGACACAACTGAATAAAAAAAACAAACTAATGAAACAAGCTTGGGACAAAAAATGAAGTGAACGTTTGAGGTCGTTTTATGACAGGAATGTGAAAAGCTCATCAGGTGTGAACATTGTTGCAAGGCACTGGGTTCACACTGAGTAGCGGCACTGCAGTAATTTGTTGATTATTTGTATTTTTGTGTCTTTTCTCTCTCGTCTCCAGATCGGACTCATATCGGTTACAGTTTTTCCAGTCCGGCTGCTGTTGGTCTCTTTCTTCATGCTGCTGGCGTGGCCTTTCGCCTTCACGGCTTCGCTGGGACGTTCCGAGCTTGTCCCCGATCCACAGTCGTGGTGGAGGAGGTGTGTTGGGGCGAGATGGTACAGTAAGAGACATTTATCAAAGGCGGGTTGTAATGTCTTTAGGTCTGACAAAAAGAAATTAATGCATAAAACGTTTGCTTTGTCAGAATAATAGATCTTTGTCTTCGGGTCATTATGCGAGCCATGTGGTTCTGTGGTGGTTTCCATTGGATCAAAGTGAAAGGGGAGCGAGCGCCGCCTTCTGAAGTTCCCATCCTCACCGTAGCCCCGCATTCCTCCTATTTCGACGCGATCCCAGTCACCATGACCATGTGCTCCATTGTCGCCAAGCTGGAGAGCCAGAGCGTCCCAGTCTGGGGCAGTGAGTCATTGACATTTCCATGCTTACAATAGGAAAAATGCAAAAAGGGAAGAAGAGTGCAGTGTTTGTATAGAAATCTTCTAGATTTAAAGAGTTTAGCCTCTCAACACATCTACATGTCTAATGATTATTTTAGTAATCAATTAGTCTGCCAATTAATCGATTAATTGGATATAAAGTTGGCACAAAAAAAGCTTAAAACCTCAATCTTTTTTATTAGATATTAGAAATGTATTAAAAGAGGCAAATAAACAAATGATTAAATTCCTTTTTAAAACATAAACACTTCATTGCCCAAATGTGTGACTGAAAACACATCCAAGTGTTTTCAGTAACTTGGATGGTGAAAATGATTTTTATCTATTATTTGTAGGAGTCAACAACAAAGTAGCTCCCTTAAAAAGTGCTGCAGTTTTGAGGAACATAAACTTTCTCAGTTAGCGTTAAAGCTCTTTACCAAAGTTTTTTAAAAATAAGTACAACACAGCTACTTTGATTATATTATTTTTTTAAGGTTATTAGTTGCTTTTTTAAAATTAGAAGTAGTTATATGTATGTTGACAGACTTTTGGTGCTTGGAGTATTTTTTGTTTTGCTGCATTTTCTTAAATTTCTAATCACATATTTTCCTTCTTAATGATTTTGATTTTTTTCTCTCTCATATTGGCTTCTAAAATGCATCTCTTCATCATGGCCTCCTCTAGCTCTGATCAGCTACATCAGGCCAGTGTTGGTATTCCGGTCGGATCAGCACTCCAGGAGAAAAACTGTTGAGGAGATCAAACGAAGAGCCCAGTCTGGAGGAAAGTGGCCCCAGGTGTTGTGTTCACACACATCGATTCGCACACACATACTCACACACACGTTTAACCCTAACCCTACCCTAACCCTACTTTCCATTGACTTCCATTCATTTCTACAGCCTAAACCTTTACCCTTTTCCTAACCCTAACCATCACATACCTAACCCTAACCCTAACCAAACCTCAATTCATACCTTAGCCCTAAATCTGACCCCTGACCCAAAAACAGGGTTTCCCCTCGTGGGGACCAGGCTCCGGTCCCCACGAGGAGCGATTGGTCCCCACAACGTAGTATATGTCAGGAAAATCGTCCCCACAAGGTATTACAAACAAACGCACACACACACACACAAGTCTAACCTCAAACGCATTCAAAGAAACTAAAGCATTTTTTTGCCGTGTTTTTACGTGTTATACTATATTAATGTTAAACTCCTTGTTCTAGATCATGATATTCCCTGAGGGGACGTGCACCAACAGGTCGGGTCTCATCTTATTCAAGGCTGGTATGTTTTCAGTCCCCTACCTGCTACAACATGACCAGAACATTACAGGAAGTTATTTTTGACCCTCATTCTTAAATTCTAGAAGGAAATGAAAACAGTGCATTCGCATAAGTCCCTCCAGGATTTTGTAATTGTTTTTGTGATTTTTAATTTTATTTTTTTCAATTAAAATCATGGATTTTGTGGTGCTATTTTATAAATAGTTGTAAGGAATTTTACTGTATTTTTTCCTCAAGCAGACAGATTGGACACAAACATTTTTATTCTTTAAAGAACTTAATTAGTTTGATTTTTGTTACTCGCCATAACGATCACAGACTCAAACTTGACATCAAGTTTGCTTAAGGCAGCAGTGCAGGAGTAAGACGTACTGCCACCTGCAGGTGGGAGTTAGCAGTTACTTAAACCCAATGTTTTTCACCATTTTTGCAGAAAATTTGCAATATGCAGAGATCTTTTGATTTTGTGTGAATGTCCATGATCGCAGAATTGCAAAAAAACTGGAGGTACTGTCACGTACACTGTATAAAAAGGACAAACTTTTAAATCGGACAAATTTTGAGTAATTTCTCAAATATTATGAAACTCTATATTTTAACTGACATTCAACACTGGAGCTGAAAGACATTTTAACTATCCAAAATAACCTAAACAACAGAAACAACAAATAAAATGAATTATTCTTAAAAAAAGAAAACAAAGGGAAGTTTCGTTGAGGCTAAAGCACCAAACTGAAGACTTTTGTTGTCCAGTTTTTGGTAGAAACAGAAAAGAGAAGAATAATAAATCATGCAGATGGAAATTGAGCTTGCTTTAATTTATTATGGAATTTATTGGTTTTAGCGACAGGCCTATTCATCACACTGAGACATGTCTATTAAAAACTAGGATCTTTGTCCCTCAGTACAACTGAAATCTGACTTTTTTACGTTGCTTTTGGAGTAACGGCCTCTTCCTGGCTGAGTGGCCTTTCAGCCCATTTCAGTACAAGACTGATTTCACTTGGGATAAACATTTACTCTTATCCATCGGAGTAAAACAGAAACTATTCATCTCTGTTGTCACATTAGAAGTAGGTTTTGTTTTTGATCCAGAGCAGCAGGTGAAGCCTTTACTGCGCAAACCAAAGCAGAACCGTTTCATTTGACGTTCCGGCTGATTTCCAATAATGGGTGTGTCCGCATTACAACAGACTCCCTCAGCCTGGGTTTTTATTTTAGTTTGTTTGGACTTTTATATGATTATTTGTGAATGGATTCTGACTCTGTTGCGACCAGCTCCCAGCGTTTATGTCAGAACAAATTAAACCCAGCAGGCAGGGACGTTTGGCGCCCTGCTGCTTCGTGCATAAAAGTCCGACCCTTTGCTTTCTTTTATCAGACTTGTTTTTCCGCTAACGTCCGTGTGTATGTGCGGACGCATGAGGGGGGTTATGTGGTCAGCTATTGTCTGATGCCAGCTCCTTCTAATCCCCTTTTTTCCAGTCTGTTATTCAGTCTTTCCCAATAAGCCCTGTGGGTTGGTGCAGCTCTGGTTGTGTTTGCGTATATGTGGGTTAAAGCCAACTTGATCTTTGTGCCGTGTGCTTCCAGTCCTCTCTGGACATGTCTCCTCCTGCTTTGTCTCTCGGTACAGCACACCAGCTATATGTGGAGTTTGTGTAGATGTGCTTTTGCTTTCTGTGTCCTTTCCTAAATTCAAGAAGTTTTTCTTCTCTTTCAATTGTTTTTTCTTCCTACTTTAACTACGAAAACCACTTCGTACCCATGGTGTACCGGTTTTGTTTTAATAGTACCATGTCAATAAATGGACATGTAGTACTTAAATCTGACATGTAATTTAATTCAACTGTATTGTATTAAAAACATATTACATTCTGTTACAGTTTTTTTTCGTTCTGACCCACATTTGAGAAGCTGGTTTGGACTCTCTGGTCCAGATCTTACGTAAAGAACAGGAACTACTTTGTGTTAATAGGCAATTTCTCAAGGTTTAATCCTGCAATAATACAATTTGTTATTAGCTGTAATGTGATATAGAAATAAACTTGACTTGACTAGAAGAACACAGATTTGTTTAACAAAATGTTCAACATTACCCATAATTCTATTTACAAGCTAAATACACAAAATAAGCAAATTTGTCACCTCATAAAGGTCAAAGATGGGAAACCATCATGGATATGCAGGGATGACTGACTGGGACTTCAAGGAGAGAATCATCATTCAATGATTAGCTGCCCACTGATTTAGCTTAATATTCAATTTTTAGCATTTTGTAGCAGCGTAGTTCTCTTTAAACGGTTTGTTGAATCTCCAATCAGCTGCTCTACCAGGAACTATGCAAAATATTTGCTTTGTTTATGCTTAATCTCTCAACTGAATGCAGTTCATGATTGCTGCTTAAATCATATGTCACAACATATGATTCTGACATAAGTCAGAATCATATGTCAGATGATCAGGTAGATCGTTTCAGGTAGTCAGATCTACCTGAAAAGAAAGCAAAAGGCTTGAATAAATGTAACAAATTCTTATGCTTTTTGCTTTGACCTCAGTAATGATGAACAGAGATGAGGAAACCGTAGCCGTCTTGTTACGTGAGATTTAGATTTAGGTGATAAATGAACGTTACTGTATCTTTTATTAAAGACCTGCAGATAAATTATACATGTAGCCTTTTTGACTGTTTATTTTCACATAATAAAGCCTTCAAAAGGCAGACAGAGGCTTGGAAAGGTCTTTCCTGAAGCCATTAATACTGCATGTGGCTGTTCAGCTCGTCTGTCATCATCAGGATACATTAAAGTCCCAACAGGGAAGCCGTCTGCCAGTAGGTTCATGCTTTTTTGTTCTTACTCTTAATTTTCTCTCATTTTTGTGTTTAAAAGGTGCTTTCATCCCAGGACTCCCAGTGCAGCCAGTGGTGCTGCGATACCCAAACAAACTGGTGAGCGTCTCCTTTCATCCTTCCACATGTCTACCTTCAGACCCGCGACCCGGTCCGACCGTGACCTCAGGCTCTGTGCGCTCCGAGCCGCCTCTGATGTAATGGCTGCCGTTTGTCGTGTCGGGGTGCGTTTCCCCTCATGTGTCGACTGACTTCGTGTTCCAGCGGGGTGATATTTCACCCGTTTGCTCCTCGCCCCGCACGCTCGCGCTCGCAGGCGTGCGCAGACAGGTGTCATATCTCCTCCCCTGCCATCGCCTCCAGCGCTTCTCCTCACGCGCTCATAAATGATGCAGCTGGTATTACTAAGGTTTGCATGTCCGCTTCCCTCGAAAGTCTTTGTTTCAAACTTCTCTGTTTAGTCACCGTCCTGACTTTCGGGGCAGCTGCCAGCCCTGTTTGTTTATTTGCCTTGCTAATTCCAGCTACCGTTTGCTGGTAGCATGCTAAATATAGCAATAGGAGGAATATATTTTTCATACATTTTGAATAAAGTGATCCAAAATATTCAGAAAGGATCCTGTTGCATGTGTTGTAACATATTTCTTCCATGTCTGCAGGACACGTTTTCGTGGACCTGGCGCGGCCCTGGAGCGTGAGTTTCTATCTGTGCATAATTGGTTACGGCGCAAAAGTTTTCACACCTCCTGAACCTTTTCCCATCAGAACCACACCCTGTAACTCCTTTTACTTCAATTTTATGTACCACACCAACACCATTGTGAGGTGGAAGTAAAGTTACACATCGTTTAAAACCTGAACGTGTTTTTTTATTCACCCAGTCTAAATCTTTTGGCCAGCTTTAAAAATATAACAATCTTTTTCATCAAATGTTTGGTAAAGCGCTGAGGTTATTTGTAGAGCATCGGTGAAGATTGGTTTTCAAGTAATCTGAAAGGACCTCAGTTGGATTTAGGTCTGGACTTTGACTTGGCCGTCCCAACATATGAAGTGTTTTGATGTAAACCATTCTATTGTTGTCTGCCGTGTTTATTCATCTTCATGATGCTGTTTGTTCACAAGTGTTTAACAAATCTCTGAAGCCTCCAAAGAACAGCTGTATTTATATTAATTAGCACATTGTTGGACTATTAGCAGTAAATTTCATTAGAATTCAACAGATTTCATATCATCGTTCGCCACAGTTGTCAGATTTTTATATGTAAAAAACCCCCATAACTTTACCACATTTCATCATTAATGCTCTACTTTGTGACAGTCACATCAATTCCTAAGACGTCATTTAAGTTTGTGGTCATAATGTGACAAAACACGAGAAAGGAAAGGGTGTGAATACTTTTGATGGGCTGTATTTGTGATTAGAGACACCAGAAATCTGTTCCTATCAAAGTGAACACAAACACTACAGAACGTCAGCTATTTAGTTCTGTTTTCTTCTTCTTCAGGTTTAAGCTTTTGTGGCTCACTCTGTGTCAGCCTCACAACTCTATAGAGATCGAGGTGAGCGCTTAAAAAGTGACGATGTTTTTGGTGTGCTGCGATTACACTGCGGCTCACCTCCTCTCACCGTTTTCTGCAGTATTTACCCATCTACCGCCCGTCAGCGAAGGAGAGGGAAAACCCTGCTCTGTTTGCCAGCAACGTCAGGAAGCTCATGGCCGAGTGAGTTCACGTGCAGCCGTGTTTGCACAAACACCGAGGAGCAGATCGTCTGCTTATGTTTGGGTCAAGTTTAAAACGCGCTGTCCTTTTTGTCCATCTCATGTATGTTCAAATGTCTGCTCCGTCCTGGAAGGGCGCTGGAGGTTCCCCTCACAGACCTGTCCTTCGACGACCGGGACATCATCCTGTCACACGGCCCGCTGAGAATACACGACTGCACCAGCCTGCTGCACTTCAACCAGCTGCTGGGCCAACTGGGGTGAGTGAGGGGAGAGGATCACAGTGTAGAAACACTGACCCCTGCTGGAGGAAGGAGAGAAACACACTTTCATAGGGCCATTACTGGAACTTTGATTTAATAATCAACAATCAGACAAGAAAATGGACACATTCTGCAGATTTTTCTTTGAATTACTTAAACTTATTTTTAAAATAAGAAACATTTTATTGCCTAAGATGCAATAACATACTGTTCTTATAGTGAACACAGCTACAGAAACAGACTTCTAACATCAACATGTGAAGAGTTCAGCCCTTTCTGCTTCATTTACCATCAACACAGAAATGTGCTGATCGGTTGACTATTTTTTGTCGATCAAGCAGTTTATCATTGGATAGCAAAAAGTGCTTAATAATAGATTTTCTATAACAGAATTTGAACTGGATGAAGTCACCAGGTGTTTTTTTTATTATTACCTTAAATGCAATATGTAAATATGTCTGCATGGTTTTTGGCTGAATTACTCCTCTGGGTGTGTTTTGTTTTTATGACTGTTTACTCCAGGTAATGATTAATCCATTAGTTTATTATTTCAAATAATCCACTCATCACGACTTCCGCTAATGGCATAACCAAATGTCTGAAACAGAAATAAAAACAGGCCCATGAAGGTGCATGTGTCAGAGCTTTTCCCCTCTTGTTCTCATCACGACAGGTTAAAGTCGGGGAGCAGAGGCGGCCGGCTGGACGAGGAGGCCAGGAGGGCCGCCAAGCTGCAGGGGGACAGACTGGGACTGGAGGACTTTGCCCAGTTTCTCAGCCTTCCAGTTACAGACACGCTCAGACAAATCCACAGCCTCTTCCATCAGGTCAGTGAGGAAGGATGGAGGCAACACCTTCCAAAATTAAACTACTTCAAATATCAGTGAGTGTCCAGAATATCCAGAGGTTTTTGTAACTCAAGAGAATCACAAATAAGCCAGAGGCAAAAAAAAAAAAAAAAAAAAGAAATGTTCTTCTTCATTCCAAGAGTGAATAAAAAGCTTTTTAACGTTAACTAAAGCTAAGGAAATAACGAACATTGAAATTGAGAAAACATTTCCATTAACTGAAATAAATAAAAACAGTAATAGAAGGGGAAAAATTACAAATAAATCTAAAACATACTGAAATTAAAGATATATAATAGTAGTATCCTTTGTTTTTGATGAATCTATTTATTAAACTTTCAAACTGATGTGACATTACCAAAATGGAGGGAAACACCACGCAGTTGGTTGTTCAACAATAATTGAATACATTTTTTGAAATTGGTACCTTCTGCTCAGTGTTCATTACCCAGTGGATGCACACATCACCACCATACGATACTTTGACCTTTCTGAATTCTGCACCTAAAAATTAACCGAAGTCTGAAAACTCTACAACTGCTAAACAATATTTAATAGAAACTAATAAAAAATGTCAAAAACTAATTACAACTAACTGAGTTAGACAAAAAGTCACAACAAAACAAAACTAAACTATAATGAATTATAACCTTGGCAAACATACAGTTTCCACATCATCATAACTGAGTATTAATGTGTTGAATTTTGAGGAAAGAGCAAAATTTAGAATAAGGCTGTAACATAGAATGTGGAAAAAGTGAAGCGCTGTGAATACTTTCCAGATGTGCTGCACTTCCTGTTTCATGTTGAACTAAATTCGTCTTTTATATCAGGATGGAGACGGAAAGATAGACGTCAGACACTATGTCACCGCTCTGTCTACTGTACAGCGACCTCATAAACCCCTGGACACATTAAAGCTGGCCTTCCAGGTGAGAACAGCAGCCTGAGTGGTGCTGCTGGTGTTTGTGTGGGTCATTTGGGTCACTGTGCTAAACTGACCCGTCGCTGTGTTGTAGCTGTATGAGGAGGACAGCGGGGGAGTCACAGGAGAAGACCTGGCCGTCGTCTTAGAAATAATGTTGGGAGTAAAGGAAGTGGAGCTCGCTCCTCTGTTCCTTGAACTTGAAGCTCAACACACAGCGAAGGTCACTTATGGTAAGACTTTGTCATTTTCTGCCTTACAAATGATTTACTTCACCGTTTTACTGGGATTTTATGTAATAAAAGCCTCATTGTGACTCTGGAGAGAGTCACAATGAAAACTTTTGACTGGATATGCTAATATGTAGCTTTTTCAGCTATACTGCATAAATGAAACCGTGTGAGACGGTTTCTGTCAACGTGTCTCAATGTCTTCATCTGAGCTGCTGCAGTAGCTTAATATTTTCTTGTCTTTACTGAAGATAAATGCCATCTGCTAAGGATTTTATACTGACCACATACTTTTTCTGCAAAGCTTTAGAGCTGTTTTTCACATCGTTAGCTGTGTTTCCTTTACATTTTGTTGGCATTGCACTAATGTCAAGAAACAGTGCAATGTGGTGTTTCCACTAAGTAAGAAACACAATTTAAAATCACACGTGAATAAGTTTGTTCACGTGATAAGTCGATCAAAAAACATACCTTGCCATCATTCATTACCACTTCCTGTCATCTTCATCTGTTCCCGCCTGCAGTAACATCCAGTTGCTGATCACACAACTTGTGTGATCTGAAAATTGTTTCAGTTGCAGTTTTTTGTGAAATACCCTAATTTCGATGCAAAAACCACTTCTTCCTAGTGTAAAAACTTTATTGAAAAAAGTGTCTTCCTCCACCACCAATTTGACTCCTTTCCATTAAGCTAATTTATTTTTGTAATTCCAATTTACGCAATTTTATGGTCAATGGAAATGCAGCTACTCTTTCCATCATGCTATAAATCTTGTTCGTCTTTGAAACAATCCAGAACATTTCAGATCCACAGGTGTGAAACAGATTCTAATCTGTTGATGTGAAAGGATCTTTATTAATCACATGCTGTAGCTTCCTAAACCTCTTGAACCTGTTTTTGTCTCTTCCTGTTCCCTAGATGAGCTTCAGTGTCTCGTAAAGAAACGTCCACATTTCTCCGTGGATTGCCTCAGTTTTAAGGATCATCCTCGTCGCAGCTGCATCGGTCGACTCAACTACTGCAATGGACACAACAAAGACGACTAAACAGACTCCGTGTTCTTGTGCCTGGTTTGATGGTTCTATCGAGACGTTGTGAATCGCCTGCCACTTCTGTGCCTTAAAGTGCAGGGAAAGAATGAGAAAGTCTTCATTCAGTTTTCTCTCTTTTCTTTTAGAGTACACTTTAGTGTAAAGAAGCATTTTTTAAAATGTATATATAAAAGATTAACAATTTCTTATACCAATATTCAAAAATTTAAGAAGTCAGTTTTATAGTTTTCTTTAAGTAGAAAGCTCTCAGGTACAGCAGACACCAGCTCACTTATCTTTACTTATGAATGACAGAGCAACATTCCCAGTGAAAGAAAACAAAAACAATTAAAAAGCCATGTTACTACTGCTTTCCTGTAACATCAACTGCTCTATGCAAGGAGCAAAACTGGTGTAGTGGTTTTATTAAATTCTTAAGGAGAGTCGTGCTCCTAGAACCAGTTTAAAACAAACAGAAAAACTGAGAAAGTGAAAATGATCAACTTTCTAAAGGGCTGAAAAAATGATACTGTTGAAAGAATATCTCAGCTCTGTGGCCTTTTTCCACAAAGCAATTTTGTTAGTTGGGGAAAAAAGTTCCATTTTTTCCAGAAGAGTCTTGATGAAAAGACATTTTCTACCCTGTGGCTGCACCGACATGTTTCTGTTTCTGAACAGGAATCATTAACAACCATCAGATTTAAGAGCTTTTATTATTGCACAATTAAAATTATTTCACTTGTAACATTGACAGTTTCTGTTTATGTCCACCAGGCGGCGCTTTGCTTTTCCTCAATCAAAATATATGACTTCTCTGAAACCGAAAAGCAGAATTTAAACTTAGACCCATAATGTCTCCATCATTTCTTTTTTATTTTCTTTCTTACATTCTTTGTCCTTTTTCCTTCTTTTCTCTGTTTTTCTCTTCTCTCTCTATTTTTCCTTCCTTTCTTCATACCTTTGAACAAATTAAGTTACTTTGTTCATTTCTCATTCCTATCATCCTTTCTCCTGTGTTTCTTCCTGTTTACCCGACTAATTACCCACCATTATTTCTAGCTTCCTTCCTTCATTGCTTACTTTATCATCCATTAAGCTTCGGTGAACATTTGTATTTCCATTTTAAATGTGGAATTAAAATGAAGGGAACTTCACAATCTGGAAAAAGTATTAAATATTTATAACAGGAAGGAACCTTGTATGTCAATCTGCTTATATTAGTCTCTTCAGAGATATGTAGAAAGCATAGGCAGTTTAAATTATCATCTGCTCTCAGTCCAGATGGTGGCGCTAAACCCCTGCGCTACACACACAAACTGAAGAGCCTCCCATGCACCGGTGCCCACCTGATGGACAGGAAAAGCATTACCTCATCCCTTCCTTTCATTCCTTCAGGTAAAAATAGACAGATTAAGCCTGGGCTTTGATGAGCCAAACCTGCAGAGGAGGTGTGGAAGCAGGGAGAGAGGGATCGGTGTGGAGGAGAGAGACTAAATGGATCGTTCTGCTCCAAATCCAATCCCTAATAGCTTGAGGGAGGGGAGAGAAAGGGAGGAGGAAGAAGAAGAAAACAGTCAAAGAAAGAGGAGAGGCAGACTGGAGATATCACGTCGAACAATTAAGACCAGCCTTCAGGGGATGAAGAAGCAGCAGCTTTGTGGAGAACACACAACTTCCTCTGCAGTCATCCTCACTTTCTCCTGCTTCAACAAAAGTGGCTCCAGAAAATCATAAAAAGGGTTTAAATCTGGTTGGGGTATTTAGAAAACCATCTCCACTTATCTTGTCAAAGAAAGAAACAAAATATTTCTTTACGGTTCATCCCAACCTGCATCTAATCCCAGTCACTGCCCTTCAGGAAACATTCAAACCAATCCACTGGAGATAACTGGTGACTTCTGTCGGACGGCCGAGTTCAGAACAGAAATTTGTAATGAAGATTAATTTGGCATCATTGACTACAAGTATTGTTTATGACGGTGAATCTGTTCAACCTTTCAGGAAGTGTGCAATCTTATAACCTGTGATCCTATCCAACAAGCAACAGTGGATAAACTGTGGATTTACTTAACTAGCGTTTTTAATTAATTAAAATATGTGAGCAGGTGTCATGGTGGTTAGCCTGGTGGAAATCTCCCCCTTGCTGTACACTCTGCTTCAACACACCACCCTCAAGCCTTTAGAGCTCGACTGCATGTGTCAGTTTGCACCATAGGATTGTGCAAACTGAAAATATAAACTTAAATTTGCTTAAAAGCTTTTGAGTTAGGATGAGGCAGTTCTTTGGTCGTATCTAAATAGACGCACTATTTTCTCATCACACGAATGACGTAATCAACGGCTGGAAACCACATGGGCAGAACATCGACAAAGACTCGCATACATTCGTAACAGAAACACAGCTAGTGATTCAGTTTCTCCATTAGTTGCAGGACTCTGGCCCTCGAACTGATCTGGAGCCTCAGCTACTGAGAGACAACTGCTTGTTGAAGGTGTGGACTCAAAGGTTTACATTTTAGCCATTCGCTAACGTTTTGCCGTGACGAATGTAATGTACCATCCTGACACTATGAAACTAACCATAAACAACCATCCTCCACTGCGAAGAAAGAAGTGCCATGTTGAACGAGACGGCTGTTAACATGGCCAACACAGAGCAAACGGCTTCGTTCATTTCCACCACTAACGTTGTTAAAACTATAGAACACATTTCTAGCATGGTGTAGAAAATCGATGTCACCATTCACAACTTCTCCTTATCCTACATAAAATTAGATAAAACGAATTTTGTGCTTGGTTTACAATGGTCGTAATTATATGACCAGTTCCTTCCACCTGATGAAAATGCTCTATTTTCTAATCACATAAAGCCAAATAAAACACACTGAAGTTTGCGTTAGAAAAAAAAAAAAAAGTTAAAGGGTGTTTAGCACTTTTTCATGGGAACTGTGAATCATGTTCAGTTTGTAAAAAAGCTGGTGTAGCTCCACACATAATAGCTACGTTATGCATCCTTGTGTTAAAGTCCAACTTGGAAGCTGGATAATCTCCTCTTCAGCTGTCAAATCTCGTCTTTTCAACTCTATTCAACCAGCGACTGCAGCTACGTCTTGGCTCCGATTTCAGAGCCACGTTCCTGTTGAGTTGGCGTTATTTAAATATTTCTGCTTCTCAACGGATTTAAGCTGTGACCTGATTCTGTTAAACTATTCACTGTTAAAGAGAATATATTATTGGAGGTGTGGTGGCGAGTTAGTGATTGATGACACAGAGGGAAAATGTCAACTTTGCTTGTGGTTCTGCATCCTTTGTTGCCGCTGGCTGCTTGTATTGCTGAGTAACTTATTACCCACTTACCCGATTGTCACCAATTTAATTTTTATTGGTGTTTACATATTGTGCTACTAGATATTTATTTTTTTAATCATACCCAACTGGTTTTCCTGTAAGCCCATTTTCACCACACTAAGTTTGGCAAAAGTTCAAATTCAACCAGAATGTGGGTGGTTGGTCCAACATTTGTGAGAAATCATCTGCGGCAAATCAAGAACCTGCGATTAAATTTTCACAATGAAGCACGAGAGTTTTTGAACTGTAGTTCTTGGAGGAAGAATAGCGGGGACTTGGCTTCTCTGCTTAAATAAATATCCATTATTTTCGCATCTAAAAACAAAGTGCTGCACTCAAGCTACTTTCATGTAGCAATCGGTATGTGTGCCACAAACTATGGAATAAGCCTCCCTCTCCAGAAGCACACCTCCAAATTGCACATAACATTCTCAATACTCCAGCACTTATAACACTTATCCTCCTCCTTTAAAGTTGCAGTATGTAACTTTTTTCATAAAGAACATGATTTCTACAAATCTGCCAAAACTGTCATGTTATGATAGTATGTTATGAGACAGATAATCTGTGCAAAGATCAATCTCCTCCACTTCCTTCCTGAGCTACTATTGGAAGAAACACACCGCTCTCAACCAAAATCAACCAATCAGAGCCAGGAGGAGAGTCATAACGCTGTTAGTCAACCTCATGTACTCACTGCTAAACATGGGCGTAGGTT